CGAGAACCTCCAGAGCCTCCAGTCCTAAGCACGTGTTGGCGTGGAAACCTAAAGTGGATCTCAGAGAGGGTCTTGGCCCCCACCTCCTATGGCTATATCGGTATCTATTTGAGCCAAGCCAAAGACTGAGGTTTCCCTGCTATCCAAGACGTTGTCACCTCGCCCTCACCTTCTTTCGCTGCTTGTGAGACGAATCGTGCAGGTTGGAGAGGCATCCGGAGCCCAGGATGGTGCGCACCGACGCAGGCCACTGCACCGCCACCAGCCGGTGCTCCCCCAGCAAGATGCGCCGCACGTTATCCGCGCCCATCACCCGCACCGTGGGCCGTCCAAACAGATGCGTCTTGTAGATGAAGCCGTATTTTCTGCGTTTCATCTGCAGAAACTTCCTCCGCTGAGAGTGAGGTGGAAGAGAGAGACCCGCAAACCGCGTGAGGGGCCGCCGGGGAGCATCTGGCCTCCGTCTAGCCCCTCTTCTAGCCGTAGTCGCCTCCCTCGCAAGGACACTTATCCCAGCTTCAGCCCAAGCCCAGAGCTGAGACGGAAAATCCTCCGGGAAATTCTCAGGTCCCTTCCCGAGTTCCCTTACCTGCAGCACCATCTGCAAGGTTTCCCCAAAGAATGGGAAGCCCATGGTCCCGGGAGGCAAAGGGAGGGCGCAGCTGCGGTCGCGGCTGCTCACACAGTACAGGTACCAGAGCTTAGTCGCTGCCAGGAAGAGCAGCAGCGGCAGCACGAAGGTGCAGAGAGCACTGGCCAGCAGCGCCGGGAGCCCCATGGCACGCAGCAGCCTCCGCGCCACCTGCCGCCGCCGCCCTAGCTCCGAACCCCGCCGCGCGCCCTCTTTATAGGCCGCCCAGGTTACTGCCCACGTTACCTTGGTCAGACAAATTAGTTCACCCAAAGTTCATCTTTAATTGCGGATCGGGCCCCTAGCTCCTCCCCCCGCGAGGCGCTGCCCAAAATCTTTAACCGTTTGTTCCGCGCCCAGGCAGAGGCGGCGCACTGGCGGCTTCCCTAGGAGCGCGCCTCCTGGGGTGCGAGGCTAGCAACACCGCCTCCCCTATCCCGGGTGTGCGGAGCTCGGAGTCAGCAGGGAGCGGTCGGGGACTGGGGGGGAAGCGGATTGTGGATCCAGGTTCCGAGAAGCGGGAATTTGGAGTCCTGGGCTTTCTAGCTGTCTTTTGGTTGTCCCTCACGCCGGGTCCTACGGGCTGCCCCAGTCCAAAGCAACCTTCCTGGGTTTCCATTCAATGGCGCCGCATGGAATTGGAAAGCGTGTTCAGAAATCACCATTCAGTGGACTTGACCCACAGGTTGGATAAATGAAATTCCAAACACTTCCTGATCTGTGAGGATCCCAAGAAAATCCCAGGGCTAGGATCAAGCCAGAGCATCCCGGAGGTCAAGTACGACTGGCAGATCGTGGATCCCTGCAAGTGAGCCAGCGCATGAAGTCTTGGGAAGACCTGCTATAGGATTCAATGCAAGAAAGCCTTCAGGTCTCTGGGATCCCAGGAGCAGCCTTGCACAAGCCCAATTCCCCTGCTCTGCAGCCCAGCGGCTCCAAAGTCAGTGCCCAGCTGTGGTAATACCGCCAAGCTGGCTCAATTCCTATGGCCCTGGGGCTAGCAAATCCAGCCAGCCAGGCAGCCGGGAAGAGGGCCCCTGGTCCAGGCAGATAAGGGGAGGAAGACAGAGGGAGGAAACCCAGAAGCCCCGTTCTTCTCTTCTCGGAGTGCCTGACTCTTGGGCGAGCTAGCAGGCTTCCTCCTGTCTGTGTCCCTTCCTTAGGAAGAAGGCTATCATTTCCACTGTTTCCACTCTGTCTGCACCTCAAGGCAACTTTGAGTTCCCAAAGAGGACTTTTGCTTCTAAATGGCTCCTTAGGCTACATTTATAGATCGGTCGGGCTTCAAGGCTTCAGAACCTTTCTCCAGTCTCCCAGATCCCACTCAAAGAAAAGCCAGAGACCCTGGGAAGATGGCTATTATCACCTACGCTTCTGCCACCAGCCATAGGGAACTTAAAGGGAATCGGTACTGGGGAGCAAGTCTCAATTCCTGCAGCCAAAACTGAGCTCAGGAACTGTGGAATGCGCGCGCACAGACACCCTGGGTTCCCGTGACCTCCCGCCAGCCACATCGCTTCAGCCAGTGCCACACACTGCCTTGGTTTGGGCACTGAACTTACCAGCGGCGTGGAAAACAAACAGAATGACGCGTGTTTGTTTAGACCTGAACACGGGCTCTAGCAAAAGCACACCCACCCCTTGGGAAGATCCATTGAAGATGAAAAATTAAAGCTGTTCAATATGTGACCTGCCAGTGGTGGTCCCCAAATGACACCCACCCCCGCCCCCGCCCCCGCCCCCGCCCCCGGGGAGTCACAAAATACCCACAAAGGTCGTGAGGACCTGTACAAACTTAGCGACTCTCTAAGCCAGGATGCCTACGGGTTGTATTTGGGGGATTCAGTGGCTCCCCATAACTCTGTTCAGTGTCTCAGAGGCTCTCGGGAGGCGGGCGCTGCCGCTGTCATGTCTTGTAATGATTTGGTTATTGTAGGGACTGCGTCCCAGCTTCTGCACTGGCAGGAACGCGGACAGACTGTGCTGGAGGTAATTCTCAGAAATCTCCGCCCGCCCCTTTCTGAAGAGCGCCTCCGGCCGGTGTGCAAAAATCGGCCAGCGGGGGCGTGACCTGGGGCCCGCTCCCAATCCTTTAGCCTGACCCGCCTGTGACCCCTGCAGGCCGGACCGTGACATCCCAGTGAACTCTGCCGGGCCACCCCACCAAGTTCAGCGCACGCTAGGTCACAAGAGGAGCCCCGCTAGCGCGCTGGAAATGGCTACAGGGGGAAAAAAAAACTAGTACTTAAAAAATAAATTGGAAAAAAAAAATCTAACTGGTCATCAAGATCCGCGGGGCGCCCGGCAGGGAAAGATTAAATGTTAGAATGCAAGATCAATTAAAAAACTGCTTCAAGGGGGAGGGAGATCAATAAATTACCAGCCCAATAGAAACGTTGATCTAGGAACTTCCCCAGACTTTATTGGATGGTGGTGGGTGGGGAAGGGGAGGTTGGCTCGCTGAGAAACCAAATGTTGGCCAGTTTTCCTATTGCTAAGGGTTGGGAGCTGTGGGGTCAGGTTTGTGGTGGCCCTTGTTTCTGTTGTTTTGTTTTGTTAGGGTGGCAGGAATCAAACGACCAGCACACGCTCCTCCTGGACTCTCCCTTCAGCCCCTCTTTAGCTTCCCCTCTGGTCTCTATACCTGCTGCTGTTCCCAGTGCTTGGGGACTGAGGCCAAAGAGGACTGATGCCTGCCTATGTCATCTCCGACGGGGTCCCTTGCTCAACTGTCAGAATTTAGATTCACTCTGAGTTAAAGGCGTGTTTTGTGTTGGGGTTTGGTGGTGGTGGTGGTTTCTCTATGCTTCACACCACTGGGCATTCTTGTTTTGTCTTGTTTTGTTTTGCTGGTTTGTTTTGCTGTTATTGTCTGCCTCTTTCTGTAAACATTGGAAGTCCAAGGGGAAAGAACTACATCTGTTCTTTCCCTACGAACGTGCAGTTCCTCAATAATATAACATAATGAAAGGAAACAGAGAAAAACAGGAGCCACTTCCATGTGTTTATAGTCGGCCCATACCCCAAAGCAAGTCAACAAGTCTCTTTGAATCAGTTTGTCCACAGGCCTCTGAAAGGCACCTCCCCTGTTGTTCTTTTTCCCCCAGATCAGAATCAGCTTTGAAGCAGGGTCTTTTGGCCTCCTCATCCAGACCCAGGTGTCTTAGATGCCCAAGGTTGTAGGCCTGCACTGGAATGCCTTTGCTCCCCCTGGTGCCTGCAGAGCTCAGGTCCTGGCCTTACTCTGAGCAGCTGAGGGTGATTGACTATCCTGTATAGGGGTTATGGTGGTGTGAATCCCAACAGCGGCTCACCTTCAAGTACCTACTTATGTCCCCCTTGACTTCAGGCCCCAGGATCCGCTTTAAGCATAAGGTGGGAGGCCACCAATTTCCTCCTGATTCATTACAGAGACAGCCTGGGCCAGGTTGCAGCCTCCCTGGCTCATCAGTTATGTCCTCTTGCTCAGGAGTGTGGAAATGTGGGTGGCAGGTTGAAGGAGGGGTTTGGGAATGATGGCAGGATGATAGTGGCTTTGATTTAAATGGTGGTGGGAATCTCTGAATTGGAAAGGACAGGCAGGCTAGGCAAAGCTGTGAAAAGCCCAAGGGCTGAGTTCCACAGGTGGCACGGATTCAGAGGGAGGGCGGAGGGTTGAGTGATGGAAGAGGGGATGCAGGACCGCAGTGGCTCCTCGGTAGAGGCCCCAGGCTCTTTGATTCTCAGTTTCTCCTTGGTAATAGTGAGGAGAGAGAAGCAGCAAACAGAGCAACTCTGCAAGCCGATGTTGCAGAGATAGTCTAAAACCCAGAATCCAGATCCCCAGGTCCGTGGCCCAGAGGGAAGCATGGGGCTGGGGCTGCCAAACTTCCAGACACTCTGGGTATAGGCTACAATGGGTCTTTCAGGTACCACACACACCAGCACCCCTCCCCATCCCTCCCCATCCCAGCCTCCTTACTCAACCACTGGCAGGAAATGTTATTTCTTGGCCTTCCTGTTTCAGTACAAATATCCCAAATCTCTTGTTTATCTCAATGAAGGGATTAAGTCTCGACCTCACATAAACCAGACTTAGAGACATCTCCAGAGAACATATTCTCTTCTGTAAATGAGGATATAAAACACACTCTTGAAGTAGGAATTTCTCTCTTCAGAAGTCTCTAACAGAATCTGCTGATGTTGAGCCAGTTGGAACCCTGGAAGCACCCACGGTACTTAATTTCTGCCAAGGCTCTAGAAGCCCGAGGGCAGTTGCTGAGAGTGCCTTTTGGTCAATGTCAGGGATACCCTGGTATCTCTGCTAACTTAAAACACACACACACACACACACACACACACACACACACACACACACACACACAAAACTTGTAAATCCTCCTCTGGTTTGATAGGAACACCCAACCATCACCACCGCTGCCGCCGCCAGGGCCCCAAGTTTCTTGCCAAACTTGCCACAGGAAGGTGAAGCCAGGTTTCATCTAGCGTAGATAGGTTCTCTCCACCGCTGGCTCCTTGAGATCCTGGAAGTGCCTACGATGTGAAGCACGCTTTCCCGTGCTAGCCGCTCTCCTTTCCCAAGCCCAGGGCTTCTCCAATGCGGGGTGGGGGTGGGTGGGTGGGGGCGTGACTCAGTCTAATACTCATTCCAGTCTAGCACAGAATCGTCCGGTGAGCATTTGTTAAATCCAAGACTACTTAAATGTGCGCGCGATGAGGACCTAGGGCGCTGAAGATGGCCAGCGCTGGGTGTGCGCGGCAGCCACGGGGCAAGCTAAGGCTAGAGGAGCAGCGAATCAGAGGTGTAACCCATCCCCCGCACCCAAAGTCGTGAGAGGGTGAAAAAATAGTCGCAGCCCATCCACTGGGTGCACGATGGGCACCGTCTGCATGACCGGAAAGGCAGGTGTAGCCAGCTCCCAGCGCGCCGTGCGCACCAGTTCCACGGCGAGCAACTGCAGCACCGCCTGTGCTAACTCCTGGCCCAGGCAGCTGCGCGCGCCGCCGCCGAACGGGATGTAGTGGAAGCGGCCGCAGGAGCCCGGCGCGTCCTTACCCTCCAGGACAAAGCGCTCCGGGTCGAAGCCCTCGGGCGGGCTACGGTACACAGCAGCTGTCTCGTGCGTGTCTCGGATGCTATACATCACGCTCCAACCTTTGGGGATCTGGTAGCCCTGAGAAGTGAGGGGACCCGACTAGATCGCTAAGCACTGGGAAATCGCCAGAGCTAATCCCCCACCCCCACCCCAGTGTCTCTACCCCAGACTCGCCAAGTAAACCTCCAGGGGCCTACGGTTAACTAACCCTGAAGGCAAAAATATCTGCTTTGCAGTTTCTATGCCTTCCTAATGAGCTGTAAGATCTTGGAATGCTTGTGCTTAGTTGAGAAAGTAAGAATAAAAAATTTCCACGTTGTTGAGAAAATTTCAAAAGGAGATTGACACACATTAGTGTCCATGAATTATGAGTTCGTTGTCTTTCTCCTGTTTTCTTCTGACACAGGAGACTTACACTGTAAGACTGTAGCTACCAGTTGCCTGGGCTGAAGCAGTGAACCGGCACTCCGCTGGGAAAGCTGAATTAGAAAACTCTTCCCTGCATTTAACTGAACACTTCCCCGCCTTCCCACTTCACCTCGACACAATAGTGCTTCACACTTGAGAAGATGCACACCTCTTTACCCTCTCCACCTTCCCATTCATCCTGACCCTCTTTGGGAACCTGCTAGGTATTGTCAACTCAGGGACTCGTTCACACTAGGAACATTGACCTACATTCCCAGCCCCTTGGGTTTTTTCCTGGGTCTTCCAATCCCGGAACAACAATGGTAGCTGTCCCTCCAAAGATGGCAGTTTTCTGAAGCCTGTGGAGGGTCATTACTACTCAGGTTCTCGCTAGTGGGAGAGAACACACTGGAATCACCCAAAGAAAGTTCTTTCCTCTCCAGTTCTGTTTCCTGTTTCCCCATCTGTACAACGGAGGAGGAGGAGGACCTTGCCTGGGCTCCACCTACAGCCCTGGAAGCTGCCCAGTCCTGTGCTGCCCTCGCTGTTTACTGGGCACACCAGCACAGCAGTATCAAGTTTAAGCACACAAGACGCTTCTGAGTATCAGCCTTTGGCTGGCAGCTCCCCCGCTGTGGCACACTCTCCTTGTTCCAGCCTTTTGGGTGGTATCACCCAACACTAGAGACCACCTAGCTTCACTCCCTGGTCTTGGTACCTCCCTCTCTGCATGGAGCCCCCCTTTTTCAGTGCCCCCCATACTGCAGCAAGGCCATTCAGGCAGAGATCCTCAAGTTCTGCAGTGTGAACTCCCCAATCCCCAAAGCTGCCATCAAACAGCCCCAGGCTCCTGTGGAGTATCAGAACTGGGGAAAAAAAAAAAAAACAAAACCGCCCTCCCAGAAGCTCCCAAAAACAGAGACCCCCAGTAAAGGGAGAACTGTCCCCATTATTCTAAGTTGCAGTCAGGCCTAGTTCTTAATCTTGTCCAGCTAAGGACAGCTTGATGAAACCATTAAGATTTTGTTCTTTGTATTAAGGCTGCTGCATTCCGCAGGTGTATCACCTAAGCGAGTCCTGGACAGGTGACAGTGGCTGGTTCTTTAGTCTGGTGGCGGAACTAAAGAGATAGTTCTTTGCTTCCCAGCTGCACACACAGGCTGCGAGGAACGCGGCTCAGACAAAAATGTCACCGTTCTAAAATTCAGTTCTAATTGAGTTGTTCTAGCTGGATTGCTGAGAAAAGCTCAAGTATACTTTATATAAGTATTCCTACTTGTGTATACTACATATAACATTTCTAACTTCGCCAGTCCTTCAGGCACCAGGCTTTGCATCTCTCTACTGGGGTTGGAGGAAGGAGACTCTGGGGAATAGAATAGGGCTCCGCCCATTTTACGGGAGGGAAAACTGAGGCCCTGGTAAGGGAAAGAGATCTCTGCGCTAATCTTCCTGCCCTCCTCCCAGCCCAGCGTCGCTGCAAGCACCCAGAGGCCCGCGGCGCGGCGCACTTACGTCCAACTCAAAAGTTCGCAGCACAGTGCGGTAGCCCCCGGACACCGGCGGTAGGAGGCGAAGCACCTCCTTGACTACGCAGTCGACGTAGCGCAGACGGCCCAGAGCCGCCAGGCTAAGGTCCGGCTCACAGTTGCAGTCCAGTCTGGGCCCTGTGGCCGGGGATGCACAGCCGCACGCGAGCCCCAGCCCCTGCGCTGACAGCTCCTGCTGGATCTTGGCGATGGCCGCCGGGTGCTGCAGTAGCAGCAGGATGAGCGACGTGCTTGCGCTGGCCGTGGTGAAGAAGGCGGCGAAGAGAAGCTCCACAGCCGACTCCTGCAAGACAGTCGGGCGGTTCTGAAGTCACTGTGAAAAGCGTCCAAACTGATCTCTTGTGCTCAGACTAGCGCCTTGATGCCCTGCCCCGGGCGGCTATGCTCAGAGCTCTGAAATCGGTCAAAACTCAAGTCTATCACTTGGAAAAGTCCAGTTGAGCAATAGGCAAAGCCTAGCATCTGCATACACCTGCTTTGGACGAGCTTTCAGAGGCGATACAGGGATGTTATTCTGTGCATTATTTTTAGTGCTTTAAACATATTAACTCGTTAGGCTCTCACCTAACCCCGTGGGGAGCAATTGCTGCTCTCAAAACTGAGGTTCTGGGAAGGCTCTAGGTCCCTAGAGCTAGAAGTTCCAGCAGTGAGTCTGTGGCTCAATCCTCCCCCCACCCCCCCCGCGCGCCGATCCCTCACCGCCCCCACCCCGTGATGCTTCAAACAGAGGCACCTACAGTCCAGCACCAGCCTTGCTCCAAAGCCAGGACGGGCTTTTCCTTCTTACTTACCTTTTCTGCCCTGCTTTGCTGAAGGGCATTCGCAGGCAGGCCCCACCGCTTGCCTAAGTGCCTAAGTACCTTTCTTCAGGGCAGCGCCAGGGCTTGTTTTGCATGCTGTTTTCTGTGACTCCAAGGTGAGAGTAACCCACCCACTCACCCTAGACCCTGAAAACAGATGGCACCCATTCTGCACCCCAGCCCAGAATCTGGCATTGAACAGGTACATGATAATCTTTGTGGGCTGAAATGTGACCTGGTTGGAGAGCAACTGCTGGTCCTACCTGGACAAAATGAGGCTGAGATGGAGACCCCCCCCCCCAGAGCCCAGACATCCTCCCTGCCCTGCTTGGCCAATGGGCCTCTTCTCCAGGGTCTTGTTACTCCCTATTCTGTCCAAATGCAAACTACCCACTTCCTGCTACTTCCCTTCATAGGCCAGGATGGTCTCAGGTACTCAGCTCCCCAGGACTCACCGTCTATAGAGCACCTTCCCCTGGAGCGTTTGGTGCCTTTGACCTTCACACCCCTCAAGAAGAATGGAGATTATTCCATTCTCAGTACAAGAACTAAAGCTGGGCTCCTGTTTTCTAGTGTCTAGCTGAAGAAGCATGGAGGAAACTGAGGCTCAGAGTAACTCACAGGGAAGTCTTCACATTTCTGAATGTCCCTGGCCCTCATACCCCACTGCTTCTTGACTTCTGAAGCAGGGCCCCCAGTCACCCACTATGCATGCTCTACTTACATGGGAAGGGATTCTAATTCTACAGGGGGCTCTGCAGCAGGGGCAAAATGGGCAGGTACAGGTGCCAGGTGCCAAATTTAAAAAAAAAAAGGAGTATTGATTTGGCAAGGGGGAAATGTAGTTCTGAGGATGCAGAGTTTGATCGTGAACCTCAGAGTGCAGAGCGGGGGGGGGGAGCATAATTCATAGGTAGGAAGACAGCAGAGGCACGGGAAGAGATGAGGGTCTAGGAGGGGCCAAGAGGAGAGCTATCTAGATCCAGAACCTGTAAGGCCAGAGTTAGGTTTTGGTACTGCTGGAAGAATGGCTATAGTCCAAGGCACCACAGCTGGCAGATGTGGCAGAGTCATGACTGGAATCCAGGCCCTTCTTTCTCACCCTGAAGTGTGTCTGTGCCTCCAAATGTTGTTAAAAAGGACATGGCTGGGAAAGAATAGGTGGAGGAGGGATCTCTGGGGAAGGAAAGTGGGGAGAGGGAGGCGTGGCCTCCCATCACCTACCTTCAACTCCTGCACAGAGAGCTTGTGGCCCAGCTCCCTGGCGCTGGTAATGATCAGGTGCAGGGCATCACCTGGCTCTGCTGCCTGCTCCTCATGAAGCTTCCCAGCAATGGCCTCATCCAGGTGCTGATACAACTGGTCCCTGGCCCGGATGCCCTGATGTACAGGGAGAGAGGGCAGATGGGGTGGGAAGACTCAAGAGCCAGGCTTGGCTACCTTGATTCACCTAGATTTTGGTGTTAGTCTCAGCTTAGCTACACACATAGCACGTGGTAGACATGGCTCAATAAATGGTCATAGGTTTATTCACCGTCTACAAACACTACCCTATCTTGAAAATTATCACCAGCCCCCTCTGGCAAGGCAGTTAATGTCACCCAGAGGGCAGAACGCAAAGCACTGAGGGGTCAAACACTTGTACCCTCACACAGCAGACAGTCCCCATACCTGGCACAGAACCATCAAACTGCACTTAACCATTCCCCTTCCCTGAACTCAGGTAAGGCAGTGAGCATCGGTGCTAAGCAAGGAGGCACCTGGAAAACTCTACTGAGGACACAATTGTATGTTCTAAACGTTAGCTGCTGTCAGGGGTTTGGACAAAGGGGGCAGGGATGACTTTCAGGAAGCAAGACCAGTCAACACATCCCGCTGGGGAAGTATTGAAAGCGAACTCTTTGAGTTTTGTTGCCGGAAGAATCTTGTTCAGATCTCGACTGTGTTCTTGCTTGTCTCGTGACTTCAAGGAGGCCCTACTTGTTAATACAATGAGAATAACACTTTGAGGGTTGCAAGGACTAAACCAGAAAATGTATGCAAGGTGACCAGCACGCAACAAGGTTCTTTTCAGATTATTATTTTTATTCAAGTGACTGGACGCTCTACGGCAGAGGGAGAGAGAAGGTAGGACCCAGCTTCCTTTAGTTCTAGGGCCCCGCCCATCACTCGGAAAAGGCCTTGCTTTTCTGATCCGGAAACCAGAGGACCCAGGGCCTCGGGCCGGAATCATCCCCCTAGATCAGACCCGGTGTCAGGCTTCGTCTCGGCCCTCCGGCTACCGCGCGTTCCGCAGTGCCAACCTTCCACGGGGTGTTGGAGATTCGATGAACTTTGAGAAAGGATGAACCGCCTGCCTGGATGCCTGCCACTAGACCCAAACTCAAGGAGACACTGGAGCGAAAGCATGAGTCAGGAGCTTCCCATAAAAGACTTGTGGTCTGCCCCGTGTCACAGTGTGTCCGAAAAGATGCTGCCCTGATCTCCACCAACCACCACCCCACCGTACGCTGGGCCACGCCCTGGGTTCAGGGTACCCCGTCTAGTTTGGGAGACCCTCTGGAGCCCTGGGCTAAGGTCTGGGACAGCATTACCTTGCGCAGGCCGCTGAAGGGCACGTCCAAAGGCAGTGAGAAGAGGTTCTCCACCAGCTGCTCAAAGGTCTGGGCCAGCTCTGTGCATCGCGCTTCGTCCAGTTGCAGACCCAGGAGGATGCGAGCGGCCATCCGGAAGGTGAGCGCTTTGGCCGCCCCGTAGACAGCTACCGGTCCTCGGGCGGCGCACCAGGAGCGCACCTCTCGCCGCAGCGCCCCCTGCAGCCGTGGCACGAATTGTTCCAGAGCTGGGCGGCTGAACACGCGCGCCAGGACCTGTAGGGAGCGCAGATGAGCGCAAGGCAGGCTGGCCTCTTGTGCTCCACGACTCCGCAGCCTGAAGGGAAAGTCCAGTCCCTTTCTCCTTTTCTGAGACGCACAGGTCTAAACTTGTTGGCTTAGTTTCCTCCGCTTTGATGTACGGAATCCCTCCCATCCATCTAGGCTCCAAATGTTAGCTGTTCCACAAAGTCGTCCCTGAACCCTCTTAAATCTGAATCCCCAAAACTGTTAGCACCTGTTATAGAAGATCTGGAATAAAGGGCTTGTAGCTCTGCCCTTACTTTACAATTCAAAACCCTCGGGCCACCTGTTCCTTTATAGCGGAGACCCTGGTCTGGCTCACCGAAGGCACCTAGGCACCACGGACCTTAATTCCTTTGGTTTTCCCCTCACCTTCCGCCGTTGCCGGTGGGACTCGCCAACCGCGCCGAGGAGTGTGTTCGAACCTAGCAGAATGTGCGCGCTCTGCGGCCACTGGCTACGCACCAGGCGGTGCTCGCCCAGCAAGATGGTGCGCACGTTCTCCGCGCCGCTCACGCGGATCACTGGCCTGCCCAGAAGGTGCGTCTTAAACACCGTCCCGTAGCGCTCGCGGCGGGAACTGTGGAAACGAGAGCCCTGCAAGCAAGGCGGAGCTTGAAGCGCCTCTGGGCCAGCAGGGCTGAAGATCTGTCCCGGACTTCCCAACAGCTTCTTCCTAACAACTCCCCTGTCCCAGGCTGTCACATTACAAAAAAACAAAATTCCAAACGGGCCTCTCAGCTACTCTATGAGAAAGTAGACGCCCACTGGTAAAATAAGATTGAGGCTTAGACTGGAAATGAGTGCCCAAGAGCGCAAGGCTGAGATTGTGCTTGCAAGACTGTAGGTACCACGTTCCTCGAACGCCCCCTAAGCCCCTAGTTTACACCCACGGTTTATCAGAAAGGTTTAAATCGGGGACATGGAGTCTCTTAGAAGGAACAGAATAGCTAGGCAATGGCAAGCGTTTTAGTACTCATCAGAATCCTGGGCAAGGGAATGCTTGTGAAGTGCCCTGAGAACCAAGAGCGCCCGTCCGATGAGATGCAGAAAGGGGGGCATTGCTCACCTGAACCAACCAGTGCAGCGTCTCACCGAAGAATGGCCAGCCCATGGAGCCCTGGGGTAGGGGCAAGGCGGAGGCCCGGTCCCGGCTTAGAGTCCAGCGGAGGGTCCAGAGGTGTTGGGCCAGAACAAGCAGCAGACCCGCACATAAGAGAGCAGTGCCCGCAGCCCCCAGCACGGACAAACAGTTCAACCCCCAAGAAAACATGGCGAGCAGAGAGGGCTCAAGTACTGTGCAGAGCTCACCTATCCCGTTCAGAAAAGTCCCGGGGTTAGGGACCAAGCTGGCGATTAATAAATTCAGACAAGACTTCCGCTCTTAAAACAAGACTGTCAGTGGAAGGCGGCAGTGACCCCGAGGCACTTAAGAGAATACGCCTTCCTCAAGACTGAAGGCCTAGGACATTTTCCCCATTTCAGTCAAAAAGTGCCAGCCCCTTCATGGTGGGCCGGTTGCCTCCGGAATGCCCCTACATTCTCCGACGGCGCTCCTAGTGCAGAAGCTGCGAGCGAGGCTGAGAGAAACAACTCACCGCGCTGCCAACCACTGTTGCGATTCCTGGGCTGCAGACCCCTGCCCACCACCTTCTCTCCACCACTCGGTTAACCCTTCTCCACCTACTCCCTCTCCCCCCCCCCGCCCCCCGCGCTCCCCTGCACTTTATATAGATACTGCCTCCCTGGGTCACACAATGTGACGCGCCTACGCATATTTAAAGTGTCCCTTTCGGAGTAATGATTGGAAGCAGTGGGCAGTGGCGGGCTCACCTCGCCAGCCAAATAGGGAGTGACATCTGGGCGGGGGCCGTGTACCAGAAGCATCCTCGGGCGGGGCCTGCGGTTTTGCACTCTAACTTCCCTGCTCTTGGTGCAAGAGCACAGCCAGCGTGAGAAACCCACATGAAGTAGGCACTCTGCATGCTCTAGGCCATGCTCTTGGCCCATCTGTCCCCAGCCATCAGCTTCCTCGCTGGTCCCCCACCTTTGAGCCTCAAGAATCCTGGAGTTGCTTCCCTTTGCTTGATCTCTTCAGGAGATGGTAATTTCACTGCCCCTAAAATTCACAGGGGCACCCAAAGTCTTCCATTATCCTGGCACAGGTCTGGTCTCAGAGCCAACCCAAATTCTTGCTTCTTTTTCATTGCCCATCTACCCAGTCTGCAGATCCCGCCCCTTCCCCTCCAGCTTACATCTTGAGCTTTGTATCTCACTCCAGGCTGCAATGCCTGTAGGCCTAGCCGGCTGATAACAATGCAATCTGGGTGTGTGTGTGTGTGTGTGTGTGTGTGTGTGTGTGTGTGTGTGTGTG